CCCCAAAACCCCAAAACCCCAAAACCCCAAAACCCCTTTGAATGTAAATAATATAGAAACTGGAATAAATAAACATGTAAAGATATTATAAGTAGCAACTAGGCCACGTTTTCTTTGCAAATTTCAGAACCTGGACTGATTCTGCAAAGGATTACAATAAGTCCTGTCCAATCTTGACCTCGCCAAATCCATTGTTGTTAAGAGCTTGTCTTACTGTTTTCAGGTCTAAGTATGACTTGGGCAGCCAAATAGTCTTTAAAGACTTTTGTAAGTCTTCAGAAGTTGCTAGTCCCTGGATTAGGCCAACAAAATGGTGAGGATTTTTCCTCCAATTACATCTAGTTGATATACCACAACCTTTAAATGAGATTTGTATGATTTTGGTTCCTTTCAGAATGTTTTTAAGGTTAGGGGCTGTGTAGAAGTCCATTTTACAGAACGGAAATCCAACCCTTTCTTTGTCCTTCATAGCACCCATGATCTTTTGGAAGTTCTTTTGACTGATCGCATAGCTATTTATAAGTGAATCTCCTTACTTGTAAACAAACATTCTATGTTGAGCTTTGGCACCCATGCTAATGAGTTCATCAACGTAGAAATCAATAGATTTCAGTGAGTCTAGAAAGGGCTTATTATCTGGGAAAAATTTCGGTTAAAAGAAAAATGAATTTGGACAATAAAACAGTGGAGAGAATTAAGAGTATCAACTCTTTATTCGCTGGTGAACACAGACTTCCATATATTAGACTTGAAGTACCGTTCCCTTATTCATTCTTACCTGAATTGGCATTAAAGTACAGTCCTAATACATTATCTGGAAATCTTGTCGCAAAGATCTCTCTCAACTCATAATTTTTGTCTGGGACATTATCAAGCCTTAAGGCTCCTATGCTTTCCCACCATTCTGGCAGAAATGGAGATATACCTTCCACTCCTGTTGAGCCTATCTTACAGATCTCTTCAGTAAGATCGAGGTTTATTTCAAGGTTATTTTGGTCTTGATCCCTCCTATCCGGCCCTACAGTCTCAGTCTCATTCTCACTCCCACTAGATCAGTCGGTGGTCTGACCAAGAGAAGGATTCTGTGCTGAGAACGGGCCAATGCGATCAGGAGCGCTGATAGACGGGGGAGTTGAGGATTGAGTCGAAGAGTCAAAGTCGATACCTTGTCCTTGCCTGGGAAAACTGTCTTCTGTAAGAGGATGGTTCGAGCTGTTCGAAGAATCGATGTACATATGGCCTGTAAGATATTAAGTTTATTCTGAAGGGTTGAGTAAAGTTTTTGGATATCTATTCAAAAACTACCAAAGAGGCATTCTTAATATCTAAGCTCTCTTAAACTTCTATGCTTAATAAAAGCAAGATTATAGTCACTGAATGCCCTCTCGTATCTTGAGAGAGTTCTAAATTTTGAATCAAGTTCAGATTCTCTTTAGTTATTTTTCTTTAACTCTGCATGACCTACCTTCTTCTTTATTCTCTTCTTCTGGAGTATCAGTTGACTCTGTGTTTTTAGCCAAGGTTGGAGGAGCTATATTAATGGATTAGAGCCAAGCAGTAGACTTCAAGTCTGGTGTTTAACAGAATTTATATCGATGCCAATCTATTAAATAACTGAACAATGTCAAGCAATTTAGATCATTATTCAATAAAGATATGATTTGAGACTAGAGGCTGCCAAGTTTCTCCTGCACGGCCTCACTTTTCTTGATTTCTTAAGTTTCAGAAATGGCTTTGAGTATTAATTATAATGCTTCCTACGATGAGTAAGTTCTTTAAACCACTCTGATTAGGTAAGGATATTAACTTCTGATTAGAAGGCAATTGAGTAGATATATCAGAAACATAGGTTCATCAAAGTTTTAGTTTCACTATTGTTTCCTTTACAAATCAGGATTTGCACTCTAGGCAAAGTAATCCAATAAAATGTGGTAACTCACATATTTATGGCCCTACTCAGACTTTCATAAACAGAATAGTAAGAAAACTGATCTTAAACCTAACTAATTTCATGAAGAATATCTCTAAACTCTGACTGAAATCACTAATTAATCTCTTCAATCCTGGCCCCATTGGGCACCAAAATGTCCTAGCACCCCCATTAATCCATCTTTCTCGCCTAAAGATACCAAAAACCTGCCAAATTTTCCAAAAAGTCAAGAATTATCAACAAAATGCTACCCAAGGTCTGGGCTTACCTCCACTGTAACTCCATTCAACTCTTTGCAGCATATCGTTCATGGTGAGTTCTATATGGGGGAAGGTGATGAGGAAGTGGATATTAAGGGATGAGAGACTTACTTAGGGGTTTAAAGGCGGAGTTTGCTTGTTCTTGTATCTGGGGATACACACAGGAGAGTTTGTCCTTTTTGGGACTTATGTCAGTGGACTGTATGTTAAGTTAATTTTAGCCGTAAATTTTTTGATGAACACTATTTCGGATTAGTGAAATCCGAGAAATCCAAAAAATCCGAGAAATCCATTTTTATTTAAGCTTAGACATACTTGGGGTAAGTCAGAATACAAAACACTCTTGCCGAGGTCGATAAACAATTGGAGGACTGAAGGTGTATCTTGAAGAGATTTCAGCAAGTTATGTGCTTCTTCCTTTAAACATCAGAATTCCTCTAGTGAAGGGTTTCAAGAAGCTTCACCAAGTTTCTGCTCTATCTTCTGAATTTCTTTGATATAAAACTCAGATAGTTCTTTGTGCTCCTCTTCTATCTGCTTTGTCAGCATATCTCTATCCTTACTAGATTCCGTATGGGCTTCCAAGTTTAACAGTATTATTATAGATGCTTGGATGCTCTTCTGTGCAGCTATGAGGTTAGGGTTGTCTCTATGGGTGTTATGAGTGTCTCGATTGGGTTGGGAAGTATTGTTGGCTGCTGAGAAGTGGTTTTTTGGGCCAGATAAAGAGTTTTTATCCATATTTGTTTAGAAGGACTTTGTATCTATATTATTCACCAATATTTTAACTTTTACAAGGGGTTTTGGGGTTTTGGGGTTTTGGGGTTTTGGGG